TTGTTCTTCACTCTCGGATTACCAATGCAATGCCCTTGTCAATTCGGCTCTCAGCAGGCGGCCGCCCCAATGCAACTGCCCCCGCCGGGCATTCCCAGGCCACCCTTTTTGTCTAAACCAAAGACGACCCCCAGCGCAGGGGCCGCCTATCGCCACAATTCCTTTTAACGCTCGGAATCCCAACGCAATGTTTGTCCTAACTCTACGTTTTCTCCCAGCGGAGGACAGTTCCAACGCAGCGCCCTCCCCCGCGCGACCCCCCCGCCCCCATCCCCCCCCCCCCCCTCCAAAAGCAACAATTCCTTCTTGACACTTTGAAGCCCAATGACATGCCCGAACCGATGACAACTGACCCTCCCCCTACAAAAGCCACAATTTCTTCTGAACTCTCGAAATACCAACGCAATGCCTTTCCTAACTCGGCTTGCAGCAGGTGGCAGCCCCAACGCAGTTGCCTCCATCGGGCATTCCCAAGCCACCCCCCCCTGTCTAAACCAGAGACGATCCCCCAAACAGGGGCCGCCGATCGCCGCAATTCCTTCGTAACTCTGTGAATCCGAACATAATGTTTATCCTGAACTCGACGTTTCCTCCCAACTGAGGACAGTTCCAATGCAGCCGCCCTCCCCGCGCGACGACCCCCCCCCCGGCCCCCCTTCCAAAATTCAGTTTTAAACTCTTGGAATCCCAATGCAACTGGTGACCCCAATTGCCCCCCCCCCCCCCCCCCCCCCCCCCCCACCCCCCCCCCCCCCCCCCCCCCCCCCACCCCCCCCCCCCCCTCACCCCCCGCACACGCACCTCTCCAAACGCCGCAATTGCGTTTTAACTCTCGGAAAACCAATGCAATCAATTTCCTAACTCGATTTTCAGTAGGCGGCAGCCCCAATGCAGTTGCCTCCACCAAGGATTCCCACGCCACCCTCCTTGTCGGAACCAGAGATGATCCCCAACATAGGGGCCGCCTATCGCCACAATTCCTGCTCAACTCTCGATTTACTAACGCAGTGTTTGTCCGAATTCGACATTTCCTCCCAACTGAGGAAGGTCTCGATGCAATGCCCTCCCCCGCGCGACCCCCCGCCCCCCTTGCCCCCTCCCAAAGCCGCAATTGCTGTTCAACTCTTGGAAACCCAATACAATGCCCCAGCGGACGACAATTGCCCCCTCCCCCCTCCAACAGCCACATTTTTCTTAACCCTCGGAATGTCAACGCAATGCTTTTGCGAACTCGACTTTCAGCAGGCAGTTGCCTCCATCACGCATTCCCAAGCCACCCTGTTGGTGTAAACCAGAAATGACCCCGAAAACAGCGGCCGCCAATCGCCACAATTCCTTCTGAACTCTCGGAATCCCAACACAATGGTTGGCCCTCCCCAGCGCGATCCCCCCACCCCCCTTGCCCCCCCTCCAAAAGCTATGATTCCTTCGTAACTCTTGGAGGCCCAATGCAATGTCCCAACTGATGACAATTGCCCCTCCCCCTCCAAAAGCCATAATTTCTTCTGGACTCTCGAAGTACCAATGCAATCCATTTCCTAATTCGACTTTCAGCAGGTGGCAGCCCCATTGCAGCTGCCTCCATCGCGCATTCCCAAGCCACCCTTTTGGTCTAAACCAGAGATGACCCCCAAAGCAGGGGCCGCCTATCGCCGCAATTCCTTTTTAACTCTCGGGATCCCAACACAATGTTTGTCCTAACCCAACCCGGCGTCTCCTCCCAACTGAGGACAGTTCCAATGCAATGTCCTCCCCCGCGCGATCCCCCCACTCCCCTTGCCCCCCTCCAAAAGCCACAATTCCTTGTTACCTCTTGGATGCCCAATGCAATGTCCCAACTGGTGACAATTGTCAAACGACTTTTCTGCATCCCAAAAATCCTTCACAACCCCGGCGCTTTCCACCTAAAGCCCTTCCCAACCCCAACGCTCTGCATGTAAAACCCCTCCCAACACCCAAATCCACCCCGCAGCCGCCCGTCTACGCGCCGAGTTCTGCTCTAAACTAACTTCGCAGTTTCCGACGGAGCCTCGAGACAACGCGGAAACGCATGTAATAAGCTAAGCGCGCCCTGTTCGATGCGAATCTCGCTCCCGGCGCGCTTGGGGTCGCCACAGTTCCGCCAGACATTTATTGTAACATAACGCGAGTTATGTTTGTTTGTGGGTGGGTGGGTGAAAGACGAAAATAACATGCGTTAGGTTTTCCGAATAAAAAGTTCACCTCCAACTGCGACCTCTCCGCGGACGCGAGAGGGGAGCTCCTCGACGGCGGCAGCAGGGCCATGAACTTCTCGAAGGGCCGCGATCGAGGGCGGGGAGAGGAGGGAGCGCGCAGCCTCGGCCATGCGGCGCAGCACGTGGGAGTGGTGATTGAGGAGAGCACGGCAGTTCTAGCTGTTGAACACCAGCTGGTCAGCGTTGAAAATGTGACCCACCCCACTCAATGCGCTTTTCTTTCGGGGGGGGGGGATGTCATTGGCAAGCCTGTCGAGATCAGCGCGCACCAACCGCAGATCAGAGAACGCACCGAGGTTCCACTGCACCTTCGGGGGACCCGACGGGTCGACCACAACGCGGGCGACAACTTCCCGTTCGATCGATAACGTGCCAGCTTCCTTGTCCATGAAGACGCGCCTTGCAAGGTGTGCTTGAAGCTTGTCACGCAGCTTTTTGGTGTTCCTCTCGCGCGCGATCTCGAACCTGTCGTGGTCGACGCTGGCGCGGAACGGGAGGCGACGCCCCGCAGACATGGCAGCAGAGAACTGCCTCCATACCTCATGGGCGTCGCGCAAGAGGGCGCGGGCCTGCCTGACACGCGACGCACGCGTGACCGCGAGGCCCTTGAAGCGGAGGATGAACCTGCACGCCAGTTCTTCACCTTCCAGCTCATAGTCAACGCCAGGAAAGTAGTTGGCCAACTCCATCCATCCGCGGACGCCGTCTGCAACCAGGTTCTTGCCGACGTCCTCGCGCGCGGTGGTGACGATGATGCCAGGGTCACCAGTTCGCTGCCATGCCGCCGCCCTGGCGATGGGCTCGCGCGGAGCCGCACGGGCCAGGTCCAGCTCCTGCTCCAGCTTCGCGAAGCGGTCGGCGAGGGAGGAGTGCAGAGACTCCGCCTGGCCCGTGCGTTTCTCGACTTCGACCATGCGGAGCTCCTGGGCCTTGAAGCGCTGCTGCATCGCCGCGTCGAGCTGCGCGCCAAGGGGCTGCACGACGTTCGAGATGGTGCGGGGGAGCTCCGTTCGAACCATTTGGCGATGGAGTTCATCGAGGCACGCGCCATCTCGGCGATGATGTCCTGCTTGAAGCGCTCCATCGTCTCGGACATGCTCTGAGGGTCGTCGCCGACGCCAGCCTCCGCACCGTGGGGACCGCCAGGAGTAGCACGCAGATGAGCAGCCCAGGGGTCCTGTTTAGGAGGCCAGCCAGAGACGTCGCCAGCATCCCCAGAGGGCGGCGTGGTAAGGCCAGCCACGGGGGTCGCCGGGGTGCTGGCTGGGGTCGCCGGGCCAAGCGAAGGGCAGCACCTGCATGGCGGGCCCCCTCGACTTGAGCCTGCTGGTTCGCCGAGGTCGGGAACAGCTCCAGCGCCGCCACGGGCCCTCGGCGGAGCCGCGGCCCACGCTGCGCCCAGCACTGCGGGAACGCCGTGAGCTCGCTGCGTCTGAACTCGATGGCGGACGGCAATCAGCACGACAATCCCGACGACCACCCCGAAGAGAGCTGCCAGGGGAGTGCACGGACATCGCGTCCGACGCGTCGTCGTGGCGCCCATGCTTGTGCGCCTTCTTCGCCTTGCGTCCGCCACCCATCCACACAGCACCAGGTCAGGAACTGGAGAGCCGTCAGTTTACTCGACCTGTGCTGGGCGAGAGCGTACGAGAGAGGGTTCTCGTGACCCCAGCAGCGCGCAGCTCGACTGGCGTTGCCTAGGACAGGAGCGAGCCTCGGACTAGAGGTATCCGTTTCCCGCCCAAGGGACACAAGCATCTTAAGCCAAAATGGCTCGAGCCAAAATGGCTACGTAGGAGCAACGAGGAGGAGGAGGAGGAGGAGGAGGAGGAGGAGGAGGAGGAGGAGGAGGAGAAAAAGGAAAAGGGAGGAGGAGCGGCAGCAACAGAAAGTGGAGGAAAATGACCGCACGGGCAGCGCCCGTCGCAACGCGGCGAGCTCAATTCCAGGTTGGGCTGGCCCACCGATGACTCGTCCTCGCCGTAGTCACACTGGTGGATGCAATCGCCGTCACGCCCATCTGAATGAGACGTTGCGCGACCTTTCGCGGGAAGCTCACGCGCCAATGCCCGCGCGGACGGCCCCGCGCACGGCCGCCGCCCACGCGTGGCGAGGCCCAAGCGCCCCTCTCGGGCGCTGCCCGGGGGCGGCCCTGGGCCCACTCGGGGAGGCCCAGGAGCCAGCCCGGGTAGGCCCAGGCCACGATCTCCAGCGATGTGGCTCCTCCTCGGCGGGCGAGGGTAAAATCTTGCCGATGCTACCTGCGGCCTTGGCGTCACAGGGTGACTCGATGGAGGCGTGAGCGCTGGAGGAGGGGAAGGCGAGTCCCCATGCGTGCGACCACGCAGCTGCATGAATGCGCTCGCCGCGATCGCGCCCAGGCGCTCCTCCTTGTGGCAGATGGCGAAGATATCCGTTTCGTTCTGGACATGCGGTCGGCTGTTCATTGACGACCTCTCCAGTGCCCCCACAGTGCTTCCTACTCCACCGCGGCGTGAGCGAAACTATCCAGGCAAAGGACCCGAGACTGGCCGGCGGCTGGTGGCACTATCATCTCAATATCTCACTAGAAAGGATCAGGAGCGACGACTTCCGGTAAGGCGCGATCTCGTGACTAAAGCAGGTCCTTCGTGGAGTCAGACGCCCAGCCTCCCCTTCACAGCCTCGCGGAGGTTCGACGTGGAGGTGGAGGAAGAGACGGGGAGGGAGGTGGATGAGGAGCAGCAGAAGGCAGAGGACAAAGCGGAGGCGGAGGCTCTCGACCAGGGCGATCTTCGCCATGTCGCCCCTGTCGGCCCGGACGTCGGCCATCCATTTCCTGGCGCCGCTGGGCGGCCTTCCTCCTCCCTCCCTCATCCCCTCATCCCTCCCTCATCCTCTTCCCTGGTCCTCCCTGGTCCTCCTCCCTTCTCCTCCCCCTCCTCCTCCTCCTCCTCCTCCTCCTCCTCCTCCTCCTCCTCCTCCTCATCCTTCTCCTCCTCATTCTCCTCCTCCTCCCCCTCCCCCTCCCCCTCCTCCTCCTCCTCCTCCCCCCCTCCCCCTCCTCCTCCTCCTTCTCTCCTCCTCCTCCTCCGCGTCATCCTCCTCGTCCGCCGCCTTATCCTCCTCATTGTTACGTCATCGTCATCGCTATCGCCATCGTCATCATCATAATAATCATCATCATCATCATCATCATCACCACCATCATCATCATCATCATCATCAACAACAACAACATCATCATCATGTTCATGTTCATGAGCATGTTCATGCTCATGTTCATGTTCATTATCATTATCATCATCATCATCATCATCATCATCATCTTCATCACAATCATCATCATCGCCGTCATAATCAGCATCATGAATTATCATCAGCATCAGCATCATCAGCGTTATCATCAGCAAAAACTGTATCAGCATCAGCATCAGCATCAGCATCATCGTCATCATAATCACCACCACCATCACGATCACCATCAATATTAACTGTCTGAATCATCATCAACACCATCATCATCGTCATCATCGTCGTCCTCATCATAGTCAACGGCATCGTCATCGTCGTCGTAGACCTGATTATCATCATCACCATCATCAGCAGCACCACCAGCACCACAACCAGCAACATCATCACCATCCTCGCCGCCACCACCCTTATCATCTTTCTTTCCGCGGAGCAAGCCTGCACCCCAAAGCTTGTCGTCACCGCATTGCGCAGCAGCGGGAGCGTGAAACAGGAGGAGGAGGAGGTGGAGGGAGAAGGAGGAGTGGAACGGGCGCTGTGCGGCGGACCCCTGCGACCCAAACGGCCACACATACAATACTCAAGAACTCACAGTGGCAACCCAGGTGGCGGGAGCGAGCAGGGCACAGGAGGGAGAACGTCAAAGGAGAGTGACAAGCCAGCAAATGCCCGTCGGAGAATTTCCCCCCCCGGGAAAAACGAAGCACTTAAATCTGTACCGCGGGACCGGCGCAACCACCAGACGATCTACTGATACTGCCAAGTCTACTACCTAACCGCTGCCTGCAATGAGCCATGTTCCCGAAGAGCGGCAATGGCCCCGGACTCGGGCAGGAGCAGAGAGAAACAAATATACGACTTCCTTTGGAAACGTAACGGCCCCACAGCAGCACAAGATTTGTGTTATACCCGTACAAGGTGGCCCAAACGGCCACGCCAATAAATCAAACACAACATAGCAGAATGCAATAATGTAGAGGTGGAGGAGGAGGACGACGACGACGAAGAAACGACGACGACGAGGAGAGCGGAGCCAAGCTCGTGAATGCGTAGACCAATTGGGGCTTCGCCCAGGGTGCACGCACAAAGGCCCCACACGACCAGAAGTGGGAGAGACAGAAAAAAACAGGGAAACAAGAGCGAGCAAGCACAGACTAAATGAAACAGTGGAACTACACAAGGGGGGTGCAGGGGGACGGGAAGCTCTGAGAGCAAACCGCCCCTGACGCCCCCGAGACAGTGGACGCCGCCCCTCACGACGAGGGGGCAGCGCGGGGTGCGTGCGAAGACCAGACGATCTGGGCAGAGCAAGAGCTGGTGCACGCATAGGAGCCTCACGCGAGTCTAGTGCAAATTGAAGCCTCAAGCTGAAGTAAGCCCCGTAGCAGCCTGGCTGAAGAGCCATGCCTCTTTGCCAGATGAGCGGGCACCCAGTACCACTGTTGCCGATGCGACGCAAGGCACAGGAGGATACGGAGGAGAGAACACAGCTGAGAAGGGGGCAAGAGGACGAGAGCGAACGGCAAGAATAAAGAAATGGCTGAAACCGCGCGAAGGGGGGTGCAGGGCACGGGAAACTCCGAGAGCAAACCGTCCCTGACGCTCCTGGGGCGGAGGACGCCGCCCCCCGAAATCTGGGGGCAGCGCGCTCATAACAAAAACTAGCAAGAATACGCCAAGCAACGCTGTGATCGAAACGGGAGGGACACGGGAGGCGAGGGGCGGGGGAACTGAGCACTGCACCGCTGCCATCGGACGCCTCCCCCCCAGAGGGGGCCACAAGCCCAAGGAAGGCAGGACCGCACCCCGACGACGACGACGACAGCGTCGACGACGACGACGCCGACAACGACGGCGACGACGACGAGAACGACGACAACAACAGCGACGACGACGACGACGACGATCAAGACCACGACGACGAAGACGACGACGACGAAGGCGGCCGCGGCGGAGGAGGCGGCGGCGGTGGCGGCGACGACGACGGGGGAAGAGGGGGAAAAGAAACAGAGGGAAAGAGGGAAGGGAGGGACAAGGGGAAAGAGGAACGAGCGGTCCCCAGCCACCCAGGGCGTGGGGCCCCAGGGGGGAAGGGAATCCTAGGGATCCTCTGGAATTCCTAAGAATTCCTAGGGATCGTTAGGAATCATTTGGAATTCCTAAGAATCCTTCTTGGAATCATCAGAAATTCATAGGAATCTTTAGGAATTCATATGAATCCTTCGGAATGCTTAGGAATCCTTTGGGATTCCTAGGAATCCTTAAGAATTTCTAGGAATCGTTCGGATTTATAGGAATCCTGAGGGATTCCTAAGCGTCCTGAGGAATTCCTAGGAATCCTAAAGAATTCCTAGGAACCCTTTGGAAGTCTTACGAATCCTTCGGAATTCCTAAGGATCCTTAGGAATTCATCGGAATCCTATGGGAAGTATGGAATTCATCCAGAATTTCTAGAAAAGTCCTTAGGAATTCCTAGGGATCCTTTGGAATTCCTGCGAATCCTTAGGAATTCCTAAGAACCCTTCGGAATTCATAGGAATCCTTCGGAATTCCATGGGTTCCTTCGGAATTGCCAGGAATCCTTAAGAACTCCTGGGGATCATTCGGAATTCCCAGAAATCCGTAGGAATTCATAAGAATTCACCAGAATCCTCAGGAGTCCTTTGGAATTCCTGGGAATCCTTCGGCATTCTCAAGGATCCTACGGATTTCCTATGAATTCTTATGAATTCCTAGGAATCCTTAGGAATTCCTTGGGAATTCCTCGGAATCCTTAGGAATTCATAGGAATCCTTCGGAATTCATAAGAATCCTTAGGAACTCCTAGGAATCCTTAGGAATTCCTGCGAATCCTTAGGAATTCCTAGGAATGTTTCGGAATTCCTACGAACCCTTAGGGATTCCGAGGAACCCTTAGGAATTCCTACGAATCCTCCGGGATTCCTAAGAATTCATAGGAATCCTTAGGAATCCTTAGGAATTCATAGGAATCCTTCGGAATTCCTACGAATCCTTTGGAATTCCTAGGGGTCCTTCGGAATTTCTAGGAATCCTTTGGAATTCCTAAGAATCTTTAGGAATTCCTGTTGTTGTGAGTGTTGTGTGTGTGTGTGGGGGGGGGGGTTGTGGGACACGGGTCGGGGCGCCCCGCCCTTAGTAACAACAACAACAACAACAACAACAACAACAACAACAACAACAACAACAACACCAACAACAACAACATCAGCAGCAGCAGCACTAACAACAACAGCACCACCACCAACAACAACAACAACAACACCACCAACAACACCACCACCACCACCACCACCACCACCACCACCACCACCACCAACAACAACAACAACAACAAAAAACACAAAAACAACAACAACAACAACAACAACAACAACAACAACAACAACAACAACAACAACAACAACAACAACAACAACAACAACAACAACAACAACAACATCAACAACAACAACAACAACACCAACAACACCACCAACAACAACAACAAACAACAACAACAAAAACAACAACAACAATGATCATGTTTAGACTGGTCGCCCTTATCTGCTCGAGTATCCAATAACGCGTATTTCCCAAACCCTCGACACCCGCCCTCTCCGTCTTCGATCGAACCCCTTTTGGGGGATATACCTTTCTTCCCTGCAGGCGGGGCCCCGGCAAGCGGCGGGGCGGCCGCGGACCGTCGGCCTGGCCAGCGGCAGCGCTGGTCGGCGGGGCGGCCGCGGACCGTCGACCCGACCCCCAGAGGGACGGACAGGGGACCCACCACGACGAGGACGACGACGACGACGTCGACGACGACGGCGACGACGACGACGACGACGACGGCGACGACGACGACGAGCGAAAGCGAGAGCGAGAGAGAACGACAGCAGGGCCACGAAGGACCCGAAGTAGGCCACGAAGGGCGACAGCGGGGACACGAAGGAAATGCGTATGGGGCCACGAAGAGCGCGAACGAGCGGGGGCCACGAAAGGCAGATAATGCGGGGCCACGGAAGGCAACGATGGGGCCACTGAAAGTAGCAAGTGGGCCACGTAGGCCAGTGAGAGGGCCACACACGGCGACAGCAGGGCCACGAATGGCATGCACATGGGGCCAAAACCGGCGCGAACGAGCGGGGGCCACAAAGGGCATACGTATATTGGGCCGCGGAAAGCAAGAACGGGGCCACTGAAGGCAGCAACGGGGCCACGAAGGGCAGCGAGGGGGCCACGCAGGGCGACAGCGGGGCCACGAAGGGATGCATATGGGGCAACCACGGGCGCGAACGAGCGGGGGCCACGAAGGGCATACATATATGGGGCCACGGAACAAAGCGAGGGGGCCACGAAGGGCCGCAACGGGGCCACGAAGGGCAGCGAGGGGGCCACGAAGGGTTGCAACGGGGCCACGAAGGGCTGCGACGGGGCCACGAAGGGCTGCGACGGGGCCACGAAGGGCAGCGAGGGGGCCACGAAGGGTTGCAACGGGGCCACGAAACAAAGCGAAGGGGCCACGAGGGGCTGCAACGGGGCCACGAAGGGCAGCGAGGAGGCCACGAGGGGCTGCAACGGGGCCACGAA